TAAACTAGACGTCTTATATCATCTACTTGTGCTTTTATTCGGATTTCCAATAATGAATTCGAAGAATAAAAAATTCCTGAAAAATGCTAGCAAAAAGGTGCGTAAGAGCCAATCAAATTCAAGAATCAATACGTAGATCATTCTAGAATCTGATTTTCTAATTCAGTATATCCTCTAACTGTATTATAAAACCTTTCTCTAAACCCTAATCCTAACCCTAAAAAAATGCACTCCAAAAATTTGTATTTTTCAGTGGCTTGTCTATTTTACACTATCGCTTATTTCATTTTAATCTGATTTTATTTTAATCTGCCACAATAAATTATTGTTTTATTTAAAAAATACTAAATATACTTTAATTTTCCAGGCAAATTTGCCTGGATTACAGTTTAAGAGATATAAAACCATCTTCAATGTTCTAATAAAAAAATTTCTTGAGAAATTTTTGTATATATTGGGTTCTTTCCTAACTCTAATCCAACCCTAGCAACAATGTTTTAATACTATAAATCTTGTGCTTTATTCGATTGTTTTGATGAAATCTGATCACGTGCGGGAAAATTTTTTGGGAGTGAGCTGCAATTATGAGTTTTAATCCGCTTACGTAATTAAGAGTTTTGCACGATAACAAAAAATATCGAAAACGTAATTTTACACATGGAGATGATCTATTTGTGCCAGCATACCGTATTGACGCGTAATAACGCACATGCGCGTTATTTCGAAACACGTCTTTTTTTTGAAAACTGCTTATTGACTCGAAATAATGCACATGCGCGTCCCAAAATAACGCACCCTTTAAATATACATAATCATTAATAAAAGCAGGGTAACCCAAATTTGTCAAAATGATTCAAATTACCGCGCATGCGCGTCCCGAAATAACACGCAGGGTCTCAAAATAACGCGCAGATGCGCGTTATTACGCGCCAATACTGTACAAGCTTCTAAAAGGAAATAGCCAATCAGTGGGTTCAAATTTTGATCGTTCCGGATCAGAATTCCGAACACGTAAAAAAGAAAAAAAGCGACAATACTCAAAAGTTAGTGTTTAAATCAACCTTGTTGTACTAATTAAACGAAATTTTGTATACAATAGGCAATAGCTATAGCTTCTACGTAATGTTAACGCCCTAACCCTAAATTTGTGTTTTTACGCACTTTATTTATAAAATTAAATTTCCTTTGGGTTGTATTACCGGCACAAATAAGTAAATCCTGTAACCACGAACCCAAACCGGAAACGTAACATAAATATAAAGCCACAAAATGTTTATACGAATGTACCACAATGCGCCATTCAAATTTCGCACCTTTTGGGCACTAACAAAAAAATTCCTTGCAAATTTTAGTATAATGAGAAGGTGACATGTAAACTGGTGCGAATAATTCCAGCCAATAGAAACTTGGGGGGAAATTAGTAAATGCCCAACATGCCATATTGACGACCCGGTGTGATGCAATTTTTCTTACAATAGCGATAGAAAAATGTTTAAATCACGTGCATTATGTATCACATTATGTATAAATAATATTTTAACATTATTTGTCACACTGAGTCGTAAATATGGTACTTTATACATGGCTTAAAATATTCATAATCCGTATTTGTACTGTATTTTTTTTTTTCAATAAATACTTAAAAAATCATATACGTAACGACAAGATATTGGTACATTATATATCAATTGATTGATACTATATAAAGGATTTAGCTGTGTAACGACATGGCAGATTTCTCGCAAGAAAACGTGACCTAAGTTTCTAAATATAAAGGTTACGACAGTATATGTACTTTTAGCTTGTTTATACGCTTCAGAACTTTGAACACAATACGATGTTCTCGTCGTACTGACACTTTTATACATGTGAATCGAGTCTTGGTAAGGATTGGGCATCCTACATCTTTTCTGCATGTCTATCACATTTTACAGGACAATCCCCAAAATTCCGAATCGGAATTCATCAGAGTTAAGCAATAACCACCTGACTACGTCTATAACAAAATTATCAGCTGGGTATTTTATAGACTATGACTTCATTAGTAAAATTGTTAATTTCAACCCAGCAGACCACGATTCCAATGTATTCCAGTCGGGATTTTGGAGATCTTCCCACATGGATTTCGTGATGAAAATTTTTGCTATTTTCCTTGACTTCCGCATCATGTTGTTTATCTTTCTTAACTTAGTGGTCCTTACTGACAATCCTAAATAATCATAAATTAAATGTAATCAGAGTAGAGAAAAAAATTGATTTCACAAAAAAAAAATTTAATTTATAAATTAATATATTTGTGACAAATCCTGCATTATTTAGAGCGAAAAAAGTGATTATATCCTTAAATGATGCATATAAAATAAAAGTAAATATTTTAATAATTGTAGATGCCAAAATTAATAAAATGAATTTAACCCACGCGAAATCTAATATTGAATATTTATGGAGATGCAAGAAATTTGCCACTGGCTATTTGATACAAGATACTCTGAAACTTAGATATATTTTCACATTTTGAATTATCATTTTGTTTAAGGATACCATTTCCATTTGGTATATTTTGTACAATTTCTAAAGATATTTTACTTAATAATTGTCCTTCACATAAAAACTTAACAGCAGTTGGTGCCGGCTGAGATGTTTGCGATGTCTCAAATCGAGCCAAAATTCTTTTTAGTTCATATGGAGTGGCCAAATCTGCATTACTAACTTGCCAATACATTCTTTGTTTCTCCACGCTCCATATACCACTTGGTTTAGATTGTACCGTTTTAACCTCTCCATCAACAGGCACTATGAAAGAAAGTTCTGTCAATGTTCCAGAAAGTCTGAATTCAGGGTTGACCTCATAAGAAATAACTAAAGAAGTTTGATTTGATTCGCATTTCCATTTTAGAGTGACGTGAAGTGGCACGAAGGCGCTTTTATGTTGAGGATCGATATGAAGTTGATATTTCATGACAACCACCGGTGTACTACCAGCTAGAGATAACAGCCCAATATTAAGATCATAAACTCCAGGGATTTCTGAGGCAGATGAAAGATAAGACGTATTCGGCACAGCTTTTTCTAGAGTGTCAAAATTATTTATCCGAATCTGAATCGGCGCCGAATTGTCGCGTATTATCGAATCATTGTACGTTACGCTTATTTCGCCTGTCACTAGAAGCTTTGTCACATCACCCCCCTTTGATATTATATTAACAGTTTCTAATATAGATGCATTTAACCCATGTATGTGCGTTTGAATTTTGGAATCGATATTATCACCTTGATCATTTACAGTATCAGAGGCTTCATAAGCCAATGGTGACTTTACAATGCTATCAGAAATTTCTGGAACAGTGGATGTATCAACATGTATGCTCTCTGAATTAAATACTGTGCTTTTTGGCGTGCTAGAAATTTAAAATATTTGAATAAACTATCAACAAATTTGTAAAAGCAAAAATTTAAACTTACTCTCGACGACCACGAACAGCTCGTTGTTTGACCGGAGTCTAATATAAAAACAAAATATTAATTACGCAAATATCAAATTAATTCCTTCGGTAGAATCTAACTTCCATATTACCGATTTGAGTGTCGTCATTACATGTGAAATTGCAGCAGCAGCTTCTGCATCGTTCGTTTCAGGAACGGATTGCTTAATCTCGACACGTATGGCCCTGTCCTGGGCGGCCAACGAACTATATATATTAACAAATTTGATTAAGTCAATAAATATAGATATTTATGGAGACTTTGAGACTTTGAATAATGAATATTTACCTCTGTGCACCATCTGATCGGGCATCTGAATCAATTTCATCATTTGAAGAAAAACCATCCCATGGCTTAAATTCGGGAGGTATCGAATATCCCTCAGAGTCAACAAGAACTTTTGGCTAAATAAATAAAGATTAATTGCTTATTTATGTTAAAGAGGCCTGGTAAAAATTTGCTCCATATTACGGAATGTATATATATAATGGCATATATATACATATATAGAACATTTCATTTAATGTACTTAGCATATTTATCATGCGTTATATTTGAGAATATTATGAGCCATACATACCACAGAAATTTCACTTGGTGATGAGGTTTCACTTTGTAAAATAAAAGAGGAATTATAGGGACTTTGAAATCCTTCGCTTCTACTCCGTGCATTGTCACTATCCGGTTGTTGCGGACATACAGATTCCCTAAAAGAAACGTACATTCAATACATAAGTATGCAGGATTTTCTATCATGAAAATAATTATTACGTACGATGGTGCTGATGCGGTCCTTTTGCGTCGTATCGTGCCTAAAGCGCTTTTAACTTGAAGGGGTCGATCATTTTTGTCATTTTATTGTACAAAAATAATCTGAATAATATATAGATAATAAAAAAAACATACCATTAGTAGAAAGTTTCGAAAACATAATCAGTTCTATCAAAATTTTATGTTTTATAGAATATATCTTTCTATTTTATGTTGGTAAAATTTTAGAAGCGATATTGTTTAAAAAAAATTATTTATATTTCTGGCAAGCTCTCATGGTGAATACAAATTCTCATGAATACAAATTCTCGGTGGTAAATTTGCTATGTAGCACGAAAAAAAAATCTATAATCAAGTTTCGGACTTTTCTGTCAGGTGATCATAAGAATCATCATAAATATTTGCATTTAACAATTCGTGTATAAACTTAAGCGTTAGTACGTAGTGGGAAAAGATCCGGGTCTAATACTTATCATCTAATTTTAATAATGCGTTTGGGTCTATTTATTAGAGCCAATTATTTTAATTAGCGCGAAATAACGTCCATGGACGTTATTTTGTGCAAACAATAAATAAAACAATTGGTACCCCATGTATCACGTAATAAATGGCACGCCCCTAACCGGCAGGGTACACTGAATTCTATCCAATCAAAACCGGCTTGGACAATGATACTTAAGGAATCCAAACACCGCCAACTGGGCGTACGTACTTATTTTTTTTTTTTCTTTTTTTTATTCAGGAAGAAGTTTGACTCAAGTTCGAAGATCCAAATCAAACCTATTTTCAAAGGAAAGCATTTTCGGTAAAGTATTTTTCTAGTGTAAAAGAGACATTTAAATGTTTTTACTGCGCTCAGTTATTCGTCGTGCACTTTTTTAAGATGGCGTTCAATTTTGTTTACAAATTTTGTTTACAAATTTTGTTAACAAATTTTGTTTCTTCGAAAATATGTGATTTTTGCTAACGTCACTTGTTTCTGTATTTTTTTTGAAAAGTATATCATGCCTAAGGACAAAAGGAGACAAGGATATCGAAAGAAACTGCGCTACAATAGCAACCGACTCGTACGTAAAATAGCGTTGAAGCAAACCAGCTCTCAACTAGCTGACAACAATGCATATGACCCTCAGAACCCTCAAATCATGACAGCTACTCAAAATTCAACCGATATTGGCAACGGTAATGGCGATAGTGATAAATCGATTAACCCGATTACATTCCTTAATACCTTGCATCACAAGTTAAAGACACCGAACCCACCACATTATGACTGCATTCCAGATCCCCAGGGCGGTGGTTTCTATTGCACATTGATGTTCTTTGACCAAACATTTAAATCAACGGTTCCTAAGCCAAAGAAACAACTGGCCAAAGAAGCGGTCGCAACAATTGCCATGGAGAGTTTTGAGAAGCAAATGTCCAAAACTTTTCAACAAGTCCGTCAGACTTTGCTTTCAGCTAATTCGGCTCCTAAAAAACAGTCAAAATTGTCGAAAGGAAGTCGACAATTCA